AGTAGTAGTAGTAGTAGTAGTAGTAGTAGTAGTAGTAGTAGTAGTAGTAGTAGTAGTAGTAGTAATGTTTCTGAAATTTAGTGTGTGAACAACATGCATATTATGCAGTTGAAGCCTGTGTACCGTGAGCAGCAATCAACAAGTAATGAATAACTTATAAACATGAGACAATCTACTGTCTACTGGTACCAGAAAAGAACGTTGTCACTACTTGTAATCCAATGAACAGCAAATAGAATTGTTTTTTTACAATGATGGTTAAGGTAAACACACACAAACCAAAAAGCAGAACAATATCTGTTTTATTCATCGTTATTCAACAAATCAAACATGTAGCTAACAGATACTAAACAAACATTCCGCGGTTTTCTGATTGGTCCATGTGAATTGGTTAATCCATTTCAACCGGACCATATATCTACCTTAGTGGCCGACTCAAGGACCTCTGAACACTCCAACGCCTGGCCGTTACGGACATGATGTGTCGGTCTCTCGTCTCCAGTCTCCGGTTCGACTGGGTGACTGGACAAACCAAACAGAGCCGACTGAAGAAGGGAATTGGATTGATCATTCACCTGTTTTCGCACGAAAGTCGAGGCACAGTGCCGCTTCAACATGCAAAGATATAGGGTTTGGATCTCATCGCTTTGTAGAGGTCTTTGCGGATTGGATGCATAAGAATGCCATTCTCGGCCGGCCTTCTTTGGTCAGGATATCATTCAATCTCCCTTCATCGTGGCCGGCCTCCACACGGCTGGCTCCTGCTCCGCCACCCTGGGTCGACCGCTGAACTCTGGAAAACTCAACATGGGCTGGTGCAATAGTTTCTAGGTGATGGTTTCGGCTATTTTTATTTTCAACCCTTACTTGGGGATGAAGAAGGACCCTCTGACTCATATGTGTCGTTCGTGGGTTGAAAACACCAACCAGGTTTGAAATCCAAGGGCAGCTTGGTTCACGAGATCGGCCATAGCCTCTTGGCTCTGCCAGTGGATGTTCGAATCGAGTCGAGTCTCTTCGGCTCGTCGGACATCTCGTCTACGGAGTCTACTTGGCTCGTCTTGGAAGAGACCCCTTGTTCCCGGAAAGACGAGACTCGGTTTGGAGCATTTTCCTAGTACCACTCAGTGGTTTTAGATGGTTTTAGGGGTTCCATGTGAATCTGCAAGGGGAGTACGAACGCTCTCAGAGGCAGACTGTCGGCGAAAGAACTGATGTTTCAGATGCCAATGTCAGAGACTGAAGTGAACTGATGAAAGACATGAACTGGTGGGGTTCGGTCAGAAGTGGCCACAGTAAGCGCCACCTTGTCCGAAAGATTCTTGTTGTTTTCAGCAGACGGGGGGACCCACCCCCTACACGTGTCTTCTCTCCTTCATCGTTATGGGCGGACAGCCGCTCCCTGTCAGACCTGGGAATGTATCATCACCAGAACCGTCCTGATGGCTCAGCGAGATTCAATGGAAAGGGGCCGCATTTAGAAGTCTATTGGCAGAACCTCATTGACAGCTATAAGAGTTTCCTGGCGCCAAAGCAGCAAGCTTACACGGGCTCTCAAAAAGATGCTTGGTTGCCTAGTTACTGCCTGCAGTCTACTGCTCGGCAGTCTACTGCTCGGTGCCGGTGATGCCCACCCATCGTTCTTCGGTTCCCCAAACAGTGTGGTCACACATTCGGGGTTCTTACAGTACTAGAGCTCTAGGCCCAAGATCTCCAAATCTCTTGATTCTTTTCTTGGACCAAGGTCGGACCTGTAGAACTCTTCTCATCTCTATCTCTAGGCATGAATAGATCGTTCTAGACATTTAGACATTTGTGGATAGCAGTGCCTCTAGACCTCTACATCGAGTTTGAATACCTCTAGACCTTAGACCTCGTCTCTGGGGTCTCTTGCCGGGGTACTTTCTTGCTGAAGAAGAACCTGATTAAGAGAATTTAAGAGAGCCAGTGATACAGAGGGGACAGCTGAAAAAGCGGCACGCGGCACAGGATCAGTCACCAAATGCCTTGAGGCACGTCATCTGAATCCATTTTCAGTTTTTGAGATGTTTTGAGAATCTGTTATTACTGTGTATAAATCCGCAATTCCTTCAACAGGCTGGGTGTTGTCCTGAAAAATCACGTTCTGGTTCTTGCTGGATCGCTTTCGAATGGGAAGCAAGTTGTTTGAGACAGAGATGGATGGCTCCCGCCATGCTCCCACAGAGCCCTGGCCCGTCTGACGGGCCCCATTTGACCGGGCCGCCAGCTGGTACCTCCTAACATCTCCTAACCTAGCCAAGGATGGTGAGAATGATCCTCAAGTTGGATATGCTGCCTACAACTTCGAGCCTTTGCTCTTGCGAAAAGCTGATCTGGCGGCATTTTTTCCTTTTTTTTATACGAAAGGCTGGAGCTTTCCGGAACGAATCCTAAAGGTGGGCAAGCCCTGAGTGGGCATTGTGTTCGTTTTGCCTACTTTTGTGGACATTGGTTCAGGAGTGGTCAAGAGGTATCCACTCAAAGACTAATGCTTCAGGAGTAGAGAAAGGGCTTTCCAGCTGAGCTGGCCCTTTTGGGGGAGTTCGACGAGTCGACGATCGTGGGCCATCGTCTGCGGAGCGGGGAGCGGGGAGCGCCATGAAAACACCGAGCCCTTTGGGCGATAAACACCGAACTCGCTGGGAGTTCGCGTACCAGAACATCACGTGAAACTCCAGCAGAAGGACCCACAAAAAAACCACAGGTGGTTGGGGTTCATTTTCATCAGATGTGTGTTGTGTGGGTCTCATAGTGATAGATGTAGAGGTTGTTGAGGAGCCTTCTGCAGAGTAGCGAAGCAGTCTCCGGACTCTGGCGGGCCGTGGACCATACGTGGTCCACAATGCCAAGCATTCAAAAGACCGGAAGGATCCCCCCCAAAAAGAACGGCCATCCCCCAGAATGGTCAACCTCTCAGAGTAGGTGGCGAAGAACCCCCCAAATCCAGGCAGTTCCTGCCGCACTTTTGGGGACGAGTTACTGTCATCCACCCACCCACGGAAAGATCGCCGTTTTTTTTCACCCAAACTCAAGAGTCCCTTTGTAACAGCCTGTAGACCCACATCCCAAATCTCAAACTCAACCTGAGAGTCTTGCTTAGGCAAAAGACATAGAGACCTTCCCTTTTCATTCCACAAAGATGCAGCACGACCCGGACGAGACACGCGCGTCCTCGTTGTCCGTGACGGCCAGACCACGCGGACACTCGTGTGGCGGCGCCTCGCGTGGCGATGTGTTCGTTCTCAGGAGAGCATCATGCACTATGGCCGTGGGGTGTTGAGAATCAAGGACCATAGCGTGAATGATGGCGACATGGCAAGAGATTGGCACAGCTTGCTGGGACCTCTGTATGTAGCTGATAGCATGGAACAGAAAGGTTGCTGTAGGGTCAGGTCCAGGGCAGAGATGATGTTTCAGCTCAAACATTGTTTGTTCCAAAGTTCTTACATAGCACATCACTCAATGCTTGGCCAGTCCAATCACAAACACGACAGCGGACGAACAACAAGTTTTCCTGTGCTGGGTTCGTTGTTCACTTGGCCGCAGCTGTACATGCGTGGTTTCACCGACCCATGGCCCATGTCAAGTGGCTTGTTGGTTGCCTGTGGTGAGACGAACAACAAATGACACCGCAGGCCACCCGGCGGCCATCCAAAATGACAACTACGAGCACAAGCACATCACGTCCTGACTTCCACCAGTGCCAGTGGCGAGCAACGCGAGCAACCAGAAACACATAGCCAGACACTCCATGGGACTGGCATCTCAACCCACTCCATGTTGGCCTATATGCCAGTCCCATGGAGTGTCAATGACAACACTGGTGACTGGTGACCCACAAAAATCGCACCTCAACCCCTTTTTCTTCTTTTTTCCGTGTACCTGGGCGGATGAGCACTACTGGAAGTGAACTGCTTTTGTTCGCGTGTCCGTCCAAGCTGCCATCCCCTACCGCCAAGACTACAGTCAGGCCTTTCCTTGAGCCAAATGGCGACATGCAACGCTGATCTCACATACAGAGAGTGCGTATCAGTACAACCAACAGCCAAAAAGAGCAGCCCGCCCACACCCGAACGCGGGTTCCTTCATTCGGCATCATCTTCCAAACACAACTCCGGAAGCCAATTCAACCAACCTGCCACCACACATACCAAAACAGTTTGATGATGTTTCATGCATGGTGCAACTCCATTGCATTTGCAACCCTAAAGCAGCCAATTCCAGCCCACCCACCTACCCACCCATCCCAACCCACCCCGCCAGGGCAGGTTTCTTCATCTCACCAACCTCATTTTTCATTTGTAACCAAGCAGCTCTCCTGGTCAACAACCTCATCTCAACATCCTCCCGTGAGAAATGCTTGAATTTCTCAGGTCCGTTTGTGGGCATGAACAAAAACAAACACGGACCTGGGCGGTGTTGCAACTCCCAAAAATGCGGTCGTTTCCTTGTGTTGTGACCTCAAAAGCACGAGCATCATCTCTGAAATGTCCTTTCGCCCAGAGTGATGATGTTTGTTTATCATGTGACAGAAACCGAGTGAACCGTCAACAGCGAAACCTGCCGAGGTTATGCTTTCAACACCATCCCTAAGTCGTACAATAGCGTGGTCGGGCAACGGCATGGCTTGTCTGACGGTGACAAGAAGGCGATCTTCGATGCTTACAGATGCAGGCGGGGCGATCTACCCGCAGCGCGAGCAGAGTCGGACTCCCCACCCGTTGGGGCTCGCCACATCGGTCGTGGCCTGACGAGAACCCACCAGAGTGGGAGACGAGCCCGGTTGGTCTGGTGACGACCGCGAGGGTTTCGGGTTCAGGGCGGCCCAAGGGTCGGAGGTCGCAGGTTCGTGGGGGAGTCGTGGCAAAGGTCCGGCTGGCCACCCATGTCCACCATGTGTTGTTTTTTGGAACCCGAAACGCCAACTGAAGCTCTACATAGAACCATGCGGAGGGAAGGGGATTGGTTTCTTGAGATAGGACAAACCAATACAAGCACATGACCGAGAAAAATCGAGTGGTTTCCGCTTTCCAGCGGCCTTCATGGTGGTAAAACATGGTAAAACCCTGTAAAACCATCGTTTGGCAAAAACGCCAGCGATTCATAGCAATTCAAAGGCTGATAATTGAAAGCACTGCTTCACGACTGTGCTGGATTTGCGTGTTCTTATGTGTTCTTGCGGGAGGCTGATGTGTTTTTTGTGGAAGTTTTGCGGGTAAAGTTGGTAGTTTGTGTGATTGACTTCTCAAGCACCCGCTAAGTCTTAGGATTTCTATAAAGTGTTTTTCGGAGTTTTAGGTTTCTTAGGAGTTTGCGGTCGAAAGCATGCGTTTTTTGCGAGGAAAACGGCAATCTATATACGAAGTCCACGGAAATGTTCCTGGAGAATGAATGCATCAAAGACTTGTCAGTTCACTGGATTCGAGTCTTCCTTCACTCGTCCAACCACAAGAGCTGTGTTTTTCTCAGGGTGGAGAAAGCGATCGCGTTTGCCTGACAAAACGACATTGAAGCACAAGACCTATCTGAAGTTCTTAAAATGAGAAGACGACCTGGTTTTAATGGTGTAAAACATTGTAAAACTGTAAAACCCATTAGTAAAACAATGGTTGTTCGGTAAAGACTATTAAATTAATGGTGGTTGGAAGCCTTGGGAAGAACTGCATTGCTGACTCCGTGGCAGCGACCAACATATCAATATGCTGATGCTTAGCTTACAAATACATACAATACCATTGTTCACAAAAGATAAAAAGGCATCTAAAAAGCTGTACCAGAAAGTGGAACCGGTTCTAGACGGTGGTGCTTTGCCCAAAAGGTACTCCGTCCTTTGAAAGTACGATGGGTTACGATGGTGAGACCAATCGTTGCGTTGACCGGGCGCGTTTATCCGCCGTTTCTTCCCACGATTGCGCAGCGAAACCGATTTTTCTGGGGGGCTTTCTTGATCTCTTCGCAGGCCGATGAAGGACTTCCAAGGAACCTGGGACGCCTTTGAGGTCAATCAGATTCAAGTCCCAGGCGCGCGAGTCCTTTGAGGTTTGCGGGAGATCGGGTTCCGCTCCGGATGCTTCGACACCTCACGGGTTACGATTGTTTTTTCTTCTCTCTTGCGGTACCTGCGGTGGAGTCCGTGGCGGTTTGGGAGTTGGTTTCGGAGGGTGTCGCGGTGGTTTTGCGTCGTTTGGCTCTTTTGGGGATTGGGATGTCTTGGAGGTCAGCGATTGGGAGGATTCCGAAGGGACTCCGTTGGACTCGGTTGCGCTCAGCCTTTGAGTGACCACTTTTTTGTGGGTCGTGAAAAGTAGCGAATGCACATATGTCCAATTGGTTGGGAAGTGGTTTTCTTGGAGAGGAACGGCCTGGACGACTTTCCACTTCACGGTGACCTTTGATGCAGTGCCTGTGGTGGTGGTCCTACCCACTCATTCAGGCAGGCCAGCCACAGTGCGACTTCGGCAGATTACAACAAGTAGTTTCCAGGCACTTGTGGTAGTTCCACCGGGAACTGCTGGCAACCATGGAGCCTTGGATGTGACCTTTATGGCAGCAGTTGCTGGGCGGCATCGTTTGAAGGATGGTCGCACCTTTGAAGCCCGGCGGGTCACGCTCAAGAACATCCAGCGTGGAAACTCCTGCACCGGGCAGAATCCGGAAGCATCTTGGACTTCGGTGAGTCTCCTTAGAACGTATGAACAGGAGAGCGTGGCAAAAGGGGGGAGAATGGCTACTTGACGTCCAGTGATCAATCTTATGTATACTATAGAAGGGCATGGAATTGGATGAGTAGGGATTGGCGAAAGACAGGGAAGATGACAAACAGGGCCTCTAGTGTTTGTCCTCATCCGGTTGTTCATTTTGCATTTTGGTATCCTACAGGTCTCGAAGATTGGGGAGTTGAGTGACTATGTGACTATGTGACTATGGGGGAGAACTATATAACTACAACAGCAACTGCTATTACTGCTGCTGGCTGCTACTACTGCTACTGCTACTGCTACTGCTACTATACTACTAATGATAATCATACTTCTAACTACTATTATTAATAAATTACCAATACTATATTTACCATTACTATATTACTACTATCACTATACTACCACTTTTGGCCTGTGATCCGTTGAACTCTGGGCAGCTGGCTCAAAACCCTAAGGGCAATGCTGGCCTTGGTGGATCTTTTGGGTTATTGTTATTTTCCAAAGACAGTCTTGAAACATAGTGTTCAATCCGGTTCCTGTGACATATCATTTACAATATGTCTCTTCTGGGGAAAGTTCTATCCTGCTGAGTCACTGCTGAGTTTTTGACCCTCTGGGAACACAGACGCCTTCTGCCTGGCCAATCAGGGGCAGTTGAGTCCTCGTCCTCAGTGAGGGATGTTTCGTTTCCAGGGTTGAACTGACTAACTTGGGCTCCCCATTCTAAAGGCAAGCCTGTGTAGGTGGCACTCAGATATCATTGCGGGTTTTTCGGACAGGAGCCCGCCTTCGCGGCTAGTGTGCAAAGCTGTAACAATGAGCTGGGAGACTTGCCTAGCTCCTTCTCCAAGCCCTTCATGTCGGTGGCCGTCAGCAACCTAACGGCCTCCTCTGTCCAGCTTGCCCTGGAGCTGGCGCAAACCGCCGGTGAAGGAGAGGTGCTGCAGGAAGAGACCATCGGCTTTATCGCCATGGAGCAAGGAAGCGGAAACTTTCGAAACCTGGGACGTCGCTTGGAACGATTGGAATGGAACGAGGGGCCTGCCCAAGGGCGGGACCCTGTCCTAGACCCTATTCTTTCCATCTGCGGAGAAGTATATCTATCTATGGTATTATGAACTATAGGCTTTAAAGGACGATGTTTGTTCCCTGCGGCGGTGACCTTTTTCGGCACGCCTATAGTTTGCTTGGTGACCTGCAGTGACCTTGGTTCCTCTTCTTCCCGGTTATATCGACACGGGACCTCTCAGGGACCTGGTGAGACCCCTGTGCCGACCCGACCATTCCCGCCGCAGGTCGACTCTACTACACCGCCAAGGTCTCAGCCTTTTCGGTCAAGGGCCGCTCGGACGGAGACGGACGCTTTCCGGTGCCGTTCCCGCACGTGGGCACGGAGACGCCACTGGTGATCGGAGGAGACGCCCGGTGGGGCCGTGGGGGTGGGAGTGGTGTGTGTCTCGTAGGGCACAGGGATGGTTCCAAAGGCTGTGGCTGAAACATCAACGATTTACCTTTCATGCAGGAAAAAGGACATCAGAACAACAAGAAGGCCTATGATAAAACGTGGAGAAAACGCAACAGAGCCTGGAGAAAAGCCAACGAAGGGAAAACGGTGTAAGAAAGCTTGGGTGACGTAGCTCTTCTCACCCAGATTCGGAACAATTTCGCGCTCAGCTTTGGTGATTCGTTCCACCTGATTCCTTGTATTGGCTCCTACTGTACTTAGTTTGAAAGACATTTCAGCCGTTGGTGAAACACTTCAAACCTTCCAGTGTGGCCGGACCATTTGGAGCCGTGCGCCAGGACATGTCTCGCGCATGGGCTCCGATGGAGGTTGGCTTCGCTTGTTCAGTTGCAAGGGCAATGTGGCGAACGTTTACATGGATGAAGATCAGTTCTGTGACTCGGAGACCTGGCACTGGCCGGCTGAACAGGTGAGCATCTTCGCTTTCTCAGGACCGCCGATGGACATGTGTTACGCTCTTGGCAAGGATGGAGAAGATGACAGGGGCAAACAAGCCCATTCTGTAAAAGTCGACGTGTTCTAGATTCCTCTTAGGTGGTATCCAGCTCCAAAAGGGAAGGGCGCCGAGGTATCTCAGGATACTGCAGGGCGGTGGGTTCGTGCCTCTTCTCAGTGTGTCCCCGCCAGGACGTGTGAGCCTGGAGGCTGCGACCACGACGACCACGACGACCACCACCACGACAACTACGACACAAGTCACCACCACGGGCGGCATTGGCGAATTTCCTCCAGGCACTTTGGAGGTGCGTGACCAATGGAAGAATGACCACCAGTGGCCCCACGACCTTCCAAGTTTCCATTAGATTCCGCCTCCTCACCCGTGGATGTAAAAAGTCTTATTAGGCTTCTTTTCATGTTTTTCCCAGGTGGTTTTGCAGGTGTCATACATTTTCAGCCCTCCCATCAGACTCCTTTTGCGAAGAACATCTCCGCCTTCGAACGACCGAATCGTCGCTCCGAACATTGACCGCACCGATGCATGGCGCGCCACAGTAGAATGTTGTTATCTTTAGGTGGTCTAGGGTCTAGGGTCTACGGTATAAGTATTCAACTCTAGTATACTCTACTGTATACTCTATAGATCTCTATACTCTATAGTCATCTCTCTAGTCTAGTCTAACACACAATTTTTGCCGTGAGACAGCTTGTGAGACTCCTTCCTTTTTTTCCTTTTGGAAGCAAGTCACGCATCTCTCGTCCTGTCCTCTTCGTCTCGGTCGTATCTTTTTGCAGGTGGGCTCCGCGAGGATTCGAACCAAGAGCTGGACATGGGTACCCTTCGAGGCCTTGTTTGACGTGGCACCCGTGGTGGTCACCGCGCCCATCGGGGGGGAATGCTCGGCCTGTGACGGTGCGGATCAAGGATGTCACCAGTGAGTCTGGGCAGCGTTGTCAATGGTGGAAATGCATGGGAAATATGGCGGATTTGAGTGTTAGGGTTTTTTGGTGAGTCAGTAATTACTTGAACATGGTTGAAAGGGGCTTGCAATTCTCATTCGGACGTGCTGAACAATGGCTTGTGCAAGCTGTTGTCCATCATAAAGCCGGCCGGGATGCACCAAAAAAACTGTTTTTGTTGATTGAAAGACCTCATGCTTTTCCTCCACCACTTGAAAATGATGAATCCAAACCAATCCGGCGTTGATGGTTCAGCGGACTCTGAGACCCGGATTTCGTTTGAACAACTTGAAAGCCCAAGAGATGGCGTGATGAGATGAAACCCGAACTGTCACCAGCTACCCAGAATTTGGGCGTCTCATCTCGTGATGTGGGTGGAGACAAGAAGACACTCACTTTTTAATCGTGTTTTTTTCCGCATGACTGAGAGCTGAATCCCCGAAGTTTGAAGTTTGATGAGTAGCAGATCTTTTTTTCTCTCAGAAGTCCCCAAAACTGACCATCCCTAGGGCTCCAAGTACCTTCTGAGAAGCTGTTTGGGGTGGATGCCAGGAGGGTCCAGTCATACCTACTTGGAGCCCTAGGGAATAGTTTCAACCACAATCTCATGCAACGAAGTCTCTCTGCCCAAATAATTTCACAAGTCTTACAAGCATTGCAGTAGAACCCAAAGACCCTCCGGTGGCACACTGGGGCGCAAATAAGACGTGGGTTTCATGAAATCAGGCTCGGTATGTGAAATCAAGCCCTCAAAGATCTCAAAGCCAGGTTGATTCTGGAAGAATCTTTGGTCCTGTAACTCAACCACTAACTACCAAGGGCAGGAGAATTCATGGTGACAAGCCTTGCTCTAGAAGGCAAGAGCTGGATGTTCCAAGTCTTCAAGTGTTCCTAGTAACTATACTTATCCGAAATCGGCCGCAGAAGTCCTCGCCCAGGAAGGTTTCCATGCGGTGATGGCCCGGCCGGCCAAGACGAAGGTTGGCACCGATGCCATGACCATTTCCTTCCTGGCCGCTTGGTCCATGAAGATGGCGAAGATGGGTTGGTTGAAAGGAATGTCTTGCAGGTCCATGTGATGGGTTGGTGATCCCGAAAGTCGAGCAGGTCGGCAGGGATTTTGGAAGACATTTGGATGAATCTGGATTTGTATAGGGAATCTTGGATGGTGTTGGTGGATTCTGATTTGGTGCATCCCCACAAACATTATAGTTGGGACATGTTGGGACCAAGTTTTTAACAGGGTGCTGGAGTGTTGCACTAAGTGTTCCATGGGCGACAGAACTTTGACAGGGACGCTGTCAACTACAAAGAAGTTATTTAAGGGCTGCCGCCCCTGCCGCCGACCCCGGGACTCAACTGC